CAACCTGGGGCGGGGCGGGGAGAGAGGGAGGAGAAGGTAGGAGAAGGGAGTAGTAGGTCAGAGGTTCTGATGGTGCGCTCCAGTGCTCGAGACAGGGCTCCAGAGGGAGTCAGCAGGGAGCCAGGTAGCTAGCTTCTGGGGAGCGTGTTGTTATTGGGGTTGCCAGGAGCCCAGCTTGGACGGTGGCCCCAGGACTGGAGAATTAGAGTAGAGGCAGAGATAACAGAAAGTGGAGGACCTCATGAGATTAGTGCTAGGGAGTCGGATGGAGCATCAGCACGGGCTTGTCATCACCAGGAAGACAAACCCGGGGAGGATGTGTCAGGCTGAAAGATGGCACCCACCCGCTCCTCACGTCGAGGAGGGAGGGTCCTGGCAGCTAGCAGCATCTGGGCAGTGGTCAGCGTGACCTGAGAGGCGCTCTGCGAAGGAACTTGAATTATCCAAGAAGGGAGGGAGAGTGGCCCGGGAACGGAGCTGTGGAGCAGGACCACGGAGGGACTCTGCGACAAGAGGCTGGGGTCCAGGCACGCTGGGGCAGAGCTGGGAGCACTCACAGAAAGGTGTCCCATTGAGGAGACCGGTCCAGGCTCAGAGGGGATGTGTGCCCAGTGGTGGGTTTGGGCAATGGGGAGGTGGGGAATGATGGAGACCTCTGGGGAGAGAGGGGTACCATCCATCGCAGACTTGGTCTCAGGGTGAGGGACTGGAGAGCGTGGGAGTGAGTGGGTGTGGGTGTGCGGGTAGACGGGGTGTCTCCTGGGATTGTGTGGAGCTCAGCGCGAGCCTCCCTCAAGCAGCCTTCGCGGGGACACTGGGGCCAGGGCTGGCAGTGTCTGTGGGAGCATGCATGTGGCGGCGGCAAGAAATGACTGTTTCTGGAGTCTACAGGACCTGGGCCGATGGCTCAAGGTGCTTGAACCCTGACTGAGTCTGCTCTATTGAGAAATCCACGCTCCTACCTGGCTGACCCGGGACGAGATCATGCGACGGAAGCCTGCCAGACGGCGTCCCGGTCTTGCTTGCCTGTGAGGACCCAGGGGAGGGAGGCGTGTGCTGCTGCTCTGCTCCAGGTGAGGTGAATGGACAACCTGTTGGCTGTGTGCCTTTTCAGCACACAGGTGGGCCCTCATTAACCCTCCGTGTCTCATCTGCCCACAGGAAGGCAGCTGGAAGAGGACCCCTCCCCCCCCCCACCCGCCCCACTTGTCTTTCATGTCCTTGCATTCTGGGGTACTTGAAGAGAAGTTGTTCGTGGTGGATTCGCTGTACTTGTGACGAATCATTCACGGACAACACTTTTTTCAGTACCAAATGCTGCCTCCAAGGTGTTCTCGGACACAGTGGAACTAACTTCCAGAGTCCCAGGCCCGGTGTCCTGCGGAGAAGTCACGTGAAGCATGGACAACTGGTCACAGACAGTGGGCTTGGTCCCTGCTGTAAGCGACCCAGTCCACTCACCGGAGCATGCGGCCCAACTCTGGGAGGCACTCCTGAACCCTGCCCACACTGGGGGAGCAGCCGTGGATGGTTCTGTGGCCGTTGCTGCCTGGCAAGACTTTGTGCAACAGTTTCCTGGACTCACTCGCAACTTCCAGAAGACACTTATGTCAATGTGTGCCAGGTCAACCAGGGGGCATGTGCTCTGTCCACCTTGTGGACTCTTACCTGGGAAGCCTTGGCACAGAGTCTGCAAACTGTGGGGACACCACCCTGGCTTGGCTGGCGAGAAGACCTGGACCCACTGTGATCTTGGCGTGTGTTTAAAACCCCTGGTGTCATGCTCAGCAGTAGCCTCTTGGTCAGGACCGCAGCCTCGAGGGACCGGATGCTACTCCTGGTGACGGACCCTAAAGAAGAAGATAAGCAGCACCCCGCCAGGGTACGTGACCTCATCACTGTCTCCAGCTTCAGTGCCTGAGCCATGGGGCGTGGCTGTGGCTGCCAGGTCCCTGACCCTCAGCATCCTGTCTCTCCACAGCATGATTCCTGGAGACGAGGCAGCTCGGCAAAGCCCGGGGGCTTACCGACATCTGCCGACCGCATCAGGGCTGTTGACCAGTGTCCCTGCCGACCGGGAAGAGCACCTAGATCTCCTGCCACCTGCTTAGGGTACGTGTGCCTCGTGAGCATGCACTCGGTGTGGATGTATGCCACTTGGCCTGCTACCCAATGGTGTCCCACCTGCTCCTCGCAGGGCTCCATCGCTGGAGGTGCGGTACTGTGGAAGAGAGGCAGTGGGTCCCCGCCAGTGTTCACCATGGTACCTGCAGAGAGGCTGGCCATGATGAATTGGATCACCTGAGGGAGTCAGACACGGCTCTGTATCAAATGCTGTCTCAGAGGGACCACCTGAGCCGGCGCTGTCCCTAAAGTAGGTATCGGACATCTCAGCCCATGCAGGAAATGTTCTGAGGGTGCATGCTAACTGACTCACTTAACAGTGGTCCCTGCTCAACCTCCATACCTTCTGGGGTTGCTGCCGACATCACCGTGAGCTGGAGGGTCTATGAGGATCCCCTAACCCAAGATCCATGCGGCCCCCTCCTCCTTGTATTCTTATCCCATTTCATCTCAGAAGGAGCATCTAGAAGTATCTTTTGGCTTTGCTCTGGGACCTGGTAGGGAACAGGAGACCTGGTAACAGGAAGCTTAATAGACCCTCTGTGACCCCTGGTTCACTAACCCATAGCTCACACACCTGGGAACTCCTTTGTAGTCCCCCCAGGTGGTTAACCTGTTCTTGCAAGCATGTGCTCTTTTTTAAGAGTTGTTGGCTTCCTTTATAACGATTTCCACGCAACCGGCTTTATTGACATCATTAAGCATCGACATGGCCAACCAGATACAGAAAACACATTTGTGCCTGCATGCATTATTCTATATCACGATCGTATCATTCTTTCGCATGAGCAATTTAAAAAAATCATTTCCCCCTGGGTTCTATTAGGCTTTCGTGAATAGTAGATGTAGCGCTTCATTTCAGGGATGTTTTCTTCTATTACTTCTGTGCATAGTGCTCTGTGCGTCGGTCTTTGGGGGCTGAATGATCGGTTTTGTTTATTTTGTTATGTATTGGAGGAGGAAGACTCAGGGACCTGACTCCACTCTGCCCTCTTTCTCGGGCAGCTTCTCTGCCTTCATTTCTACTGTGTGTGTTTTCACTTTCAGGCAGATCACAACCTGATGCCCTCCTCTCAGCCTCACAATAGGGAATCACCATCATGTACCAGGTACGTGAGCTCACTGTTATAGTAGAAGTCCTTTGATTTGTATTGCCTGCCGCCGGGACCATCAGCCCCAAAGTCTATCGTCTATCCTTAGGGAGATTTCTTGGAAGTTAGACCCACCTGTGAGGAATGAGGCTCTGATTTGGAGGTCAGTACCCCAATATGGTGCAATCAGTTTTGCAGCTAATGCTGCCTTTTTATTTATGATCAGGATTCCCTGGGGTGGGGGAAGGGGGAGACGGGACAAATGACGGACGTGCTCAGCCACTAGCCAAAAGACTGGTGGCTCCAGTGTATCCAGAGGGTGCCCCAGGAGAAAGAGAAGGCATTCCACTTCCGAAAAAGTCTGCCATCGCTCTGCCCAGGGAGCACAGTTCTACTCTGGGGCACATGGGGCTGCCAGGAGGTCTTGCCAACCTGGTGGCAACCAGAGGTGGGCTTTCACTGTGACCTTGGGAAGGAACCCAGCTCTGTACAGGGGCTTATGCACACCGAAGGAGGGAATTTCCTCTGCCACGATCAAGGTCACACATTCTGATACATGTGACTTCCCTTCAGCATCAACTTCCCACCGAAGTGCTGCGCAGATACGTACGTACGCTGCGGCCAAGATGCCTGGACCCAGCCGGCCAAGGATGGGAAGGTTGGCCCTGGCGTTCGTGCGTTGTCAGGAGCCCCTGGCAGCCAGCCCACTAACCCCACTGTCCACTCTCCTTAGGGGACTTCCTGGAGGAGGCCAGCTTTGGAGAAGAGGCGTTGACACCTGGTCGGTGCTAATCGTGGTCCTTGAAGATAGGTTATCCGTGTTGCCTTCGCTGTATTCGTGACGAATCATACACGGTTCACCTATTTTTCAGTACCAATTCCCGCCTTGGACGCCTTCCTGGGGCAGTCCCACTTCAGGGCGGGACCTTGGTGTCGGCTCCTCTCCAGGGTAAGCGAACGGACCGCTGACCACCGAGCATGCGCTTTCTTGACGCTGTGTGCACGGGCCCACTCACCCTCAAGGCGGACCTGCCCACGGCCCAGGTCCTGGACGGACACGGTGCCCACTTGGGAAGAAGTGAGGCCCCCCTTACCAAGAGCTACGTTGTGGTACTTGAAGAGAGGTCTTCCATGATGTATTCACGTCATTCCTTGATGAATCATACATGTTTGACCTTTTTTTAAGTATCATATCTAGCCTAAAGAACCCTTGGGTGATGCCAACTTCATGAGCCAGAAGTGGGGTCTGCATGAGCGGGTCACCTGAGTGTGCGCCCTGCTTCCCGGCGATGTCTCACCTGCAGTCACTCACCTGCGTGGTCTCATCCACCTCCGGGGCTGCTGCTTGTCTGCGCGTGCGCGACGCCATTGTCCTCGAAGAGGTGGCGGCTGTATTGTAGCTTGCGTTAATGTGTCTGACGAGAAGTGATTTGTGTTGTTCTCTCTTGATGTAGATGCAACCGTCTCTACTGTATGTATACTTCCTCCCTCCCCAAATGTCATGTGGAACGAATTTCATGTCAGCAGCGCGGGGTCTTGCACCTCAAGCCGGGAACAGGCTGAGGGTGACCACCAAGCTTGTGCGTGCTTAGGGCTGTGTGTCACCAGCATCCTAACCCCGCTCTCTCATCCATCTGCCCTAGGCCTCCTGTCCGCGGCTCATCGGAAGCAGGCACACAGTCAGTCCGGTACTTGAATGGAGGTTGTCCATGGTGTGTTCATTTTATTTATGATGAGTATTACATGGCCAATCTCCTTTCAGTACTAAATTCGTCATGGGAAACACGTCACGGAAGCTTCGAGGCATGGGGATTTTCACGGCACCTGCCAAGGGTAAGGAGATGGGTGCTTTGTCTCATGAGATGTGCTTTAGGAATGGCATAATGTCTTTGACACCCCCCATCCTGCTTTCTGGCCATTGCTGGGAGCAATTCCCAGAAATGTCACTGACTTCTTAGGTGAGACCATGGTGGCCTGGCCAGTGTGAACCTCCCTTCCTTAGGACTCCTTAGTGAATAAAGTACGTTGTTTAGCCCTCTGCTTAGATATGGACTTGTCTTCTAGGACATGGGCCATGCTTGATGGAGCGGGACCTTTGTAGTATGTCAACAGTTGGCCCAAATTGAGAGGGACTTTTGTGTCATGTCAACAACTGGCCCAGCTGGACAGCACACACTTCTTTATGCAGTGTGTGCTGCTGTGACTCCTTGTGCAGAATGCTCATCCTCAGGGAGACATTGAGACCATCTCTAGGGAGTGGGCAAGGGGTAGTGCTCTTGACCATGGCAATCCATGACTTTTCAGGAGTGGCTTCCACACATGCTTCAATAATCCCCGATGCGAGATAAGGATGGCCTTGTGTGTTGCCTAACGTTATCTGTGTGACCTTGGGTGAACTCCTTAAGCTTGACTCTGTGCCTCAGTTTCCTTCACCTGTAAAATGGAGTTCGTAACAGTAGCTGCCTCTGAGAGGGTAGGAACAGAAACTATATAGAGAGAGTAAAAGTGCTTAGAACACTCTCTAGCCCATAGAGAACTTAAGTAAGTACCACCCTTGTGGTACTGATGTTGTGCAATAGCAGAACTTCGGTACGGATGTCATTATCTGCTAGAACTTGGTTAATTGGCTGGTTATCCAATGGGATGGGAGTTCCCTTTGGGGGCAGAATCTCTCTCCCTCTCTCCCTTTTGCCTACTACTGTGCCCCCAAGTGCACTTGGGGTATACTTGGTGAATGAATGGCTGAGTCCCATGGCAGGTGCCTATTTTCATTACTAATACCTCTCAGAAGCCTCCTGGAAGCCAGGGAGATCACAGGGACAGCGGCCTGAGCCATGTGCTTCACTCCCGCCCGCATGGAGCAGGTACCATCCACACCGAGGTCAGGGCCACCCCCTGCGCCTGACGCTGGATGGAGCAGACAGTCGGAGGCCTGCGGGGATCGATCGCAACACGACGACTCTCATTTCTGTGCTAAGTCTACCTCAGGAGGATTCCGGCGGAGAGACTACCTTTGGGGACGGACGTCAGTGTTCTCTCAGGTAAGTGATCCCACGCTCCTAATTGGTGATGCTTGTGTCTCTTGGCTCCTCTGGTACTCGACAGAAAGCAGCCAGTCCGGGGGTTGGGTCATAAGGCCATGGGAGGTGTACCATTCCCAATCCTGTCCAGGGGGCTGTTGGGTGCAGTGCCAACTTCTAAGGGGAGCAGCTGGTGCCAGCACCAGTCCCAGCAAGTGAGCTGAGGGCCTGCAGGTGGGGCCAGCCCTGGTGAAGAGGCAGTGGGCTGGCAGGCTTGCTCGTACTGACCTTTGATCCCTGAGCAGGGGTTGCTCTTGGTGAATTCGCTTTATTCTTGTTGAATCACACAAAGGTAACTTTGGTTTGCATATCAAATCCTGCCTGGCATGGTTTCTGGGACCAAGTGGCAGGATGGGGGTGTACACCCCTCCCATGCACAAGAAGGCATGGCATAGCCATGGCTGTGTGCACCTCTCCAGTGGACGGGAACATGAGGGGATTCCCAGTCAGTCATCTGTAGGCCTGGAGGAGGGGGCCGTTCACCTTGGACCCCTCTCTCTACACGACCTTTGTGATGGGTCACATGGCTTTCCAGGGCACTGGCGCCATCTTGGTTGTGTATTTTTTTCTTCTGAATAATTTTTGACCTTGTGGTTAAGTCAAGGGCACATCCCCCCATCATTTTAAAGGCTGTGGTCTCTCCTTTTTGGCTCTGTTTCCCTCCCTACCCTTCTTTGAGGTCTCTCATGCATGCTATCTCTGTCTCTGTGTTTCCATTTTCCCTTGGTCTCTCTTGGATCAATTGCTTTGTTACCATTCCCCGCCTCCCCCCCAAAAAAAACCTACCAAAAAACAACCAAATTCTAAATTTTCTCATGGGTTCCACAAAGAATAGACACAATCAGTATCTCATCCAATTTGTATTAAACAACGGTGATAAAAATAATCAACACAAAATAGAACAATAAACAGCTGAAAGGGCAGAGAGTAACGTGCGTTCAATTGACTACAAATTGGCAGAAGAATCCAATTTTCTTGACAACATTCTGTCTGCAACATTTGACCCGGGGAAATGGAAGGCGGTAGACATGGGGTCACCGGAGGAAACTCAGCAGGGGCGCCCGCTGTCTGCCGCACGGTTTGATGTGGCCAAAGACGCAGGGAGGAAGCCATTCTCCATTCAGCTTCCTAAATGGGGAAGAATTGATCCTAATGAAAATGATTTCAGGAAAATAACCAGGGAAATAAAAAGAAATGAAAACAGCTCAACCACCCAGTAGAGAAAGCGAAAGAGGGAATTGGATTCGTTTAATGGAATTCGCTCCGGAAAAGATTTTTTTTCTTACGAAAATCAATGTTGGTACAGTTCTCATCAAAACATCTGAATTCACATGTGATTGGGGCGAAGTTGGCAGGTCCAGAGAATGTAGGGACCAAACCCAGTGTTCTGTTTATAGCCGATCTCTTCTAGGCACCCCCGACCCCATATCCCCCCACCCCCAAATCTTCCTTGGAACGTTCCTGGGCAAGACTGATGGCTTCAGGGGGGTCCGGGGGGTGGGGGGTGGGAGAGTGATAAAGGACCCTCACGGGGCACAGGTGAATGAATGTGGTCACCAGGACAGGCACCAAATTTGTGATGTGCAGCCCCTGGTCCGCCTCTCTTGGCATCCCTCCATTCCCACGTGGCTGACTTGGACGGGGGATGCGGCTCAGAGCAGTGGGGATCACACAGGCCCTGGACGTGTTTCTCTTTGTCTTGACTGCCACTTGGTCCTGGAGGCTGAATCTTGGCTGGGAGGGTCACCCGTTGCTTCTGGGGGTCAGCACCATCGCTCGGCATAGCATAGAACAAGAGGCTGCCCTTTGCTGGGGGCTGCATCCATGCCCACCTCTGTCTGGGGGCTCTCTTTGCAGTATCCCTGAAGCACACTGCCACCCTCCAGACTTGGCCAGCAGCTGGAACGCGCCCCGGGGTGGGTGTGTCGGGGCAGCCGCCCGATATGCCCTGAGCGTCGAGGTGATGTGTCCACCTGGCTCCCTCGCCCTCCCTGCTCACTCGCTTCTTGGGAACCCTCCCGCCTGGAGGCGCCTGGCATGCAGGTCAGTAGGCACGGCTGGCGGGGAGGCAGTGCACGGTGCGTTTTCCTCCTCTAGGACGGAGCACCATGGCTGGCCGCTCGCTCTGGCCGCAACAGGACGCGGAGGGATCCGACTCTCATGCCAAAGCTCGCTCTGGCTGCAACAGGACGCGGAGGGATCCGACTCTCACGCCAAAGTCGGGAAAAGGATTCTGCTGTCGGTCCCACTCCAAAATTCTCAAAATGGGTGGTGGGCACAGAATCCGGACTCTGCTTGTGGCACATGTCACCAGGCCCTCGGACCCTCACCGCCAGCCAACTGTAGATGGGGCATATCGCGGGTGTGATGCTAATCTGGGGGTTCGGGGTTGTTCTAGGGCATTGATGGTTAGTTTGCATTTCTTCTCCCTCCCCGTCTCCCGTGTCTCTCGTTTGCCTTGAGTTGGGGGTAATTTTGTGGTTTGCTTAGCGTGTGAGGCTAGTCTCAGGGTCAGCCAGCTTTCAGCGTTGAATTGAAGTGGGGGTTGTGGGGTGCCAGCGGCGCATGTCTGGGGCTGGGGGCCATGTGGGGGGAATGGCAGGAGGGAAGCTGGGGGTGGCAGCGTTTTCTGCATGTTCCTCAGGGACCTCCTTCCATCAGCAAGCATCATCTGGAGGTGGCTCAGGGCTCCGCCTCTCTCTGCGGGCCACCAGGAAGTGCTGGCTCAGCTCTTCTCCAGGGTCCGCCCCTTCTGGGAGGATGGCGAGCCTGCGCATGTCCCCTCTGACCACTGAGCCCCCTCCCCTCTCTCGCTCACCTTCTTGCCTGTATCAGTTCCCACTGGGACTCCTGCCTCACTTCTGGGAAGGGCTCTGAGAAGCAGCTTGTCCCACGATGCGGATGGGATCGTTGACCTCGGCAGCTGCGCTTTCTTGGGAAGGGTGACTTTTCTGGCTCCTGGATGCCCAGAATTCAAGCTGTCCTTTGCGGGGCGGGGGGGGGGGGGGGGAGGGGGGGGGGGGCGGGGACGCGCGGGGGGGCGCGGGGTGGACACAGAGTGGGGCAGGGCGCTGCCCAGAACCGGAAGCACTGTCTCCTGGAAGCCAATGCCCTAGCCCAGCACCCGAGCCTGTGCGTGGTACGCGGGGAGAGGTTACCCGAGCAACTTTGCATCTGGACGACGAATGTTGCTCGGTGAACCCCATCTCGGTATCAGAATCCACCGGGGAGGCCATCCTAGGGGCGAACCAGGCCCGGGAAAGGACACCCGCCCGCCCACCGCTGCCACAACGCTCTGGGGTACGGGGATGGCTGGTCGACCAGTTGGAAAGTAATTTTTTATAATGTATTTCACCTGGTCCACTAGCCATCAGTGCCCACTGCAGCCTGCCGGGACCGCGGGGGCCCTGCGCCCTGGGGATGCCTGGACGGAGCGCCTCTGCTCAGCGCCGTTCCTGGTACTTAAAGGGAGATCGACCGTGTTATATTCGTTTTCTTGACTTCGAATAATACATGGTTGATCTTTTCTCAGTATCGCATCGCACCTTGGAGGCCTCCTGGAGATGCCCCCTTGCCAGGGGCTGGGGTGCCTGGGCACAGGCCCATCCGGGTCTTCTCACGTGGGCGTCGCTCCCTCCCTGTCCCCAGGCTTCCGGAAGGTGGCACCCGCAGAGTGGGTGTGGTGGTGGGCTTGGTGTGGTCCTGGGCCAGCTTCGCCATGGGTGCTTGAGGAGAGGTTGTCTGTGATGAGTTCGCTTTACTAATGACGAATATAACACAGATGGCCTGTTTTCAGTACCTCCTGCGACTCGGCAGCTTGCACGCCGACGCGGGGGGTCAGGCCAGAGGCCGGCTCCGCCTCAGGGTATGTGACTTGCATGGGCTCTGGACATGGCGCGCACCACCCTTTCCCCCAGGCATGCCCACCCCTCCCCAGTGTCTAATCCATCTGGCTGTGGGTTGGCGGGGCATGCTGACTTGCAGGGAGATGCTAGGGTTGGCTTCTGCACGTTTGATGGACACGATGTCTGGGTCCTTTTGCTGCCTCCAAAGGCACCTGGCTGGCAACGTTGGCACCAGCGCAGGGTGGGTGCCTGTCCTCTGCCCTCTGTGTGGTTCTGAGGAGGAGTTGCCTGCACCTCCCACATTCCCATGCTGCACCGCTCCTGGCCGACCTCTCAGCCATGCCAGTTCCCACCATGCATGCTGCCTCTGCACCCACCCAGACCATCCACAGAGGGGTAGCCATGTGCATGGCTTGTGTCTCACTCAAACACTGCCTGTCTCCTCCCCCACCACCCCGGGCCCCGGGCCACCAGCCCTGAGGAAGAGATCACCCCCTCTTGGGATTCAGCACGGCTCGGTGGTCCCTGGAATAGGTTGCCTGTGAGGTGTTCACTTTCTATATGATGAATATTATACAGTCAACCTCTTTCCGGTATCGAATTCCACCTCCTCGGACAGCCTCCATGTTGTGATGCTGACTCTAGGGGCCGGAAGACCCCTTGGTGGCTGACCCCAGGGAGGGGGGCAATCTGTGTGAGCCGAATGTCTCCTAGTCTATCAGTCTCCCATCACCCACCTCTCTGCCCATCCGGAGGGTGTTCTGACCTAAGACCCGAGTAGCCTTCTGGGCTCTGCATCCCACCGTGCCGTGTTTCCAGCCGCAGGCGGGGCTCGTGTCAGGTGGGCACTCCCCAGCCGCCCACCCCCTGGAGTTCCTGGGGGGCACAGAGATGCAAGGCTACCTGGTGGTGCCTCTGGAAGAGGCCCCGTGCTCTACTTGCAGAAGCTCAGCCGGGGAAGTCCCTGCAGACGCAGAGCACCCTGAGCACCCGGGAGCAGGGCTTCCTGGTCCCTGCCCCACAGGCAAGAGCCCTGATGACGTTAGGAGTTAGGCGTTGGACTGCTAACCCACAGGGTCTGCAGTTCCAAACCACCAGCCTCTTGGGGAGAAAGATGAGGCTTCCTACTCCCAGAAAGAGGTGCCGTCTCGGAAACCCACACGGACAGTCTTACCTGGTCCTGTAGGGTCGCTGTGAGTTGGCAGCATCTCGATGCCAGTGAGTTTGGTTTTTCGGTTTTCCCCAGAGACAGATGTCTGGTTACCGGTTTTGGGGGGGTCTCCTTTGTCACATGAAGCCACCCAGGCCCATCCTACAGCTCTTCAAGGGACCCCGGGACCCCTCTGCTCCTGGGAACCCCTCTGCCTGCTTCACTCATGGTGGTCAGCTTCAAAGCATGAATGAGCACCCGGAGGTCCCCAGACTGGCACCCTGTTTTCTGCCACCCCTCCCTCAGAAACCTCACGGCTGTTAGGTTGTGGCCACCGACTCCCTCCCTGGCCACACAGCACCTGAGGAAGCCCCAAGGCAGGTACCAGGGAGAGTTCCGGCAGAGGCCACACCCCTGTTGCATGGCTTCACATGCTCTGTTGCCTCCACACCCTGCGTGGACAGCCTTGTTTCAGGCCTGAGCAGCTCCCAGGTGGAGTCTGCCTTGCCCCACCCTCGGCCCATCGGTTGGAGGAGAGGTCCAGGCCAAGCGGGGCCCACCCCTTCGAGCCTAGCCATCCACTCACACTCTCCGCTCCCCACCCGCCCTCCCTTTCTAGAACCAGGACTTGGGGTTCCAGAGGCTTGGACTGCCCTCTTTTCCCCTGACCTGTCCGCAGGCCCCTGACATAGCTGTTGGGTCCCCACACCTGCTCACCATCGGCCTGCGGTCGTCCCTGCCCTAGCTAACAGCCCTGTGCCTTGGTGTGGGGTTAATGCTGAGCTCTCACCCACGGGGACCAGCAGGCTTTGTTTGATTTTTTTCAAATTGTGTCCCCCGTCTCAGGACCCAGGCCAGGCCCGCAGCAAAGGGCCGCTGAATGCTTGCTGACTGACTAACAGAGACCCTGAGCACAGGGACGACCAGGGGCAGGGAGGAGCAGCTGGTGATGGTGCTGAAGGCGGACACGAATATGCTACTAGGGGATCTTTGGCGCGGCCGGTGCTTCCAGCTCTCTCTGCCCTTGAACGAGGTCCTTTGAGGCTTGCGGCAGGTGAGCCAGCTCTGTCCCTTTTCTCGACTTTCCAGAGGGGTCTCTGAGACCCTGCAGGAAGTGGCCAGGTCTACCCACTTGTAATCCAACGACGCCCCCTGCGCCAGCACACGGCACTGCTCCCAGCTGGCGTGCCAGGGGGATCCCCCCCACCACCACTGGGCTGGGGCGCCGTGTCAGGGCTCATATTTTATGCATGGAACGGACTTAAATGGGAACATTTGGAGATGAAAATTGCTACTAATGCGCTCGCACATCTGTGGAATATATTAACGTGCGGGCGGGAGCGCCAACAGGAGCCGTGTGTAATGGTTGCAGCCCAGTCACCATCCCGCAGGCCAGGGAGGCTCACTGGGGCAAGGTGCTGTGTTCGCCAGTTGCACCCCCCTCCCCCAGCCTTATGCTGGCGGCCAGGTGTCGGCCTGGGTGACCGGGCGGGGGTGACCAGGCGTAGGTCAGGAGGCATGTGTTTCAGGCCCACTGGGGGCCACCCCTCCATGGTAAGCACAGAACCTGTTAGTTGGAGGAGGAAAGCAAATAAGCCAGGGACCGTCCTTGTCCAGCCACCACCAGGAAAGCCCCCATGGGGGGTACAGCAGGAGGAAAGTTGCTGGGGCCCCCCCAGCATCCCGCAGGGTCCTGGATGAAGCCCTGTTCACCCGGCATGAAGCACACAAGCCTTCCTCCCCACCATTGAGGTGACCCAGCACCCACAGGGCTGCAGAACCCCAAGGTGGCACCTAATAGAGCACTCACCACCCACGGTGGGACTGGGCACTGCCACCCTGCAGCCAACCTCCTGGGAGGGAGGCAGAGCTACTACTGCCACACCATTCACATAGGTGCTCACTCCCTGACGTGACAGCGCCCCTTGGGCGAATGTGGCCACAGGCACACAGACCACAGAGGCGCTCGCCAGGTGGAGTTGATGGACATCCGCCAGTTCACTCTCCTGCTGGGCCCATGCTCAGGGGAGCCTCCCTTGAGGGTGTTTGTGGAAGGAGCACCTGCAAGGGCTGGGGGGTACTGAAGGAGCTGGGGCATGGAGGAGTGGCCAGGAAGGTGGACATAAGCCTTGGTTGAGCACCAACGGGCCTCTGAGGTCAGGGCTGCTGACCAGTGTAGGGCGCAGAGCCGGTTTCTCACAGCCGGGCTTGCTGGTCAGGCTCCATTTGCCCCCCAGCCTGCAGAGGAACAAAGAGCTCTGGTGGCATAGGGGTTATGAATTGGGCTTCACGCCCCAAGATCAGCAGTTCAAATCCACCACCTGCTCCTCTGGAGAAGATGGGGCTTTCTACTCCTTCCCGTAAAGAGTTACAGTCTCAGAAACGCAGAGGGGCCAGTTCTGCCCTGTCTTGGAGGGCCGCTGGGCGTTGGCACCCACTGGAGGGCTGTGGGTAAGGTGGAGAGGAGCGGGGTGTCTCACTGGGATGAGTGAGTATGGGTTGGGTGCTGGCTGTGGGTGGTCCTGACACTGGGCAGTCCTTGTGGGTGAGCTGTCAGCTGCGGGGATCTGCGCCCTGATGTAGGAAGGCAGGTGGGCCCGGCATGGCCAGCCCTTGGCCGTCAAGCTTGCAGGTCCTGATCAGGAGCTGTGCTCTGGGTTTTGTCAGGACGCCCTTGGACGCCTCCGTGTAAACCCACAGCTGCCCTTTCTGGGCTGCCCACTCCACACACCTGGCGCTGCGGCGCATTGTATCAACAGCCCCGAGTTCCACCACCGGCTCTTTGCTCAAGTGACACCCACAAGGTGTCTGGAGGCCCTTCTCGCCTGGCCCTGCCAGACGCTGCCAATTTGCCACCTCTGCTGGCAGAGACTTTGCCTGTCCCACCCTGCCCACAAGCCTCCTCATCCGTAGTCACCCATTGATGAGCGTGGCTCTTTGAGACATGCATCTCTCCCCTTGCTCGGACTGCATGGCTAGATGAGGGCAGGCCTCTTTCTGATGTGTATGCCCCGGGGTCTCTGATCGCACGGGACCAAGCCCAGACCTGGTGTCATGCTGCTGCTTGTCAGCCCTGCCTCCCCTCTGTACACACGCTGGACAGGGTGCAGGACCCCACAGGGGCATCTGGACATACGCGACCAAGGCCGCTGTGCGGGCAGGGTGAGTGTCAGTGGAGTAGCTATGCTCCTCCAGTTGGGGCTTGGCGCAGAGGTGGGGTTACCCTGGCCACACAGCACCTGAGGAAGCCCCAAGGCAGGTACCAGGGAGAGTTCCGGCAGAGGCCACACCCCTGTTGCATGGCTTCACATGCTCTGTTGCCTCCACACCCTGCATGGACAGCCTCGTTTCAGGAAAGGCGAGCCCCCAGGAGGGTGTGAACCCCCAAAAGGCAGTGCCTCTGGGTGAGGAAGATGTGGCCAGCTGAGCATGCTGGCCTGCGGGGTCCCTGATGGAGACATGGATGGTGGGAAGCTGCCCAGGTTGCTCCTTCCTTCCATCTGTGAGATCTTCGTTTTCTCTAACACTCAGAAATAGATGTTTGCGTTATGCGCTCGCTGGCAGGGGAGCGGCAGGGCCTGCCAAGGCCCGGGGAGCCCGCCAGCCCGAGTTTTACTGTACAAACAGTTGGGGGGGGGCGGGGGAAGAACTGTCTCTGTTAACTTGAAATCCCCCGATCAGTAAACATGCCAATTTAAAGTGTAATTAACTCAGGCCGGAAAAAATTCAGATTTGGACTGCTTTTCACAGTTGAGGTTGTTTTTCTTTTATTTATTTATCTCTTTCCGGGTGTGGTAGTGTCTGTGGCAGGTTTAGGCCAGGAAAAATAGAAGGGGGGGTGGCGTGTGTGTGCTCAGGCAGGGAGGGGGCCAGGAAGCAGCTGGAAGACACCGGCAGGCAGGCAGAGAGAAGTGGGGGTGGATGGGTGGGGGTCTTCATTTAGCCCCTGTACTGGAAGGTGCGTACTGAGATGTTGCCGGCCCTGCAGATGGGGACACTGAGGCAGAGGAGGAAGTAGGGGCACACCCAGGGTGGGGGACGTGGGCCCCTGTTGATTGAGAAGTCACGGGGTGTGATCAAGGCCTTTGCACCTAACCCTCTTCTTCCTTTTTGCTGAAGTCCCACCGGCCCGGCCCTTCGGAGCTCCAAGCGTTCTGTGAAGCAGAAGTCTCGGTCTACTGCAAGGACCTCACACGTTTCCAACGGCTTCAAAATGCCCCTTGTTCTTGGAGAAGGCCAGCCCTTCCCTGGGCATCTGGACCCCAGTCTCCTGCCGGACTGGTGTCCCATCTCCCAGAGGAAGACAGCAGAGCCTGGAGGTGCAGAGGGCCCCGCCACCCCACTTCAAAGGACTGATGGTGCACCCTGCTGGGGATGGGACAAGACAGGATGGGAAGAAAGCAAACTGCCCCCCCCCCCCTCCTCCCAGTGCCCCGCGTGGGGCTGGCCTGGCCCAAGTCTTTTCTCTTCCTCCAACCTTCTGAGCCGCTGTCAGGCGATTTGAAGAATAAATGTACGTTGCAGAAACCCACCTCGCTCTGTGTATCTGTGTGTGTGTGTGTGTGTTCAATTGGAAGTTTAAGCCTTTGGGGTCTCCAGCCTCCCGGCTTAGGAAGGCTGCTGGGAAGGTCACTAGTTGGGGTCCTGGGAAGGGAGCTGAGCTCATTCCACTGCCCCCCCCTGCACACAGAGCCCCAGCCTCTCAAGTGGGTGTCAGGCTAGACAAGATCCCTGGATTCCCTACAGCCTGACTGGCTTGTGTTTCACAGCCTGAGGCCGCTGCCCGTCCTGAGCGCCC